CTACTTGTGATTTCTCTCTGTGTCAAATAAATAAAATCTTTAAAAAAATAAAAAATAAAATAATTTATGAAAACCCTTAAGCTAACAATTTCTTAATGGAAAAATACTGGCTGTTTCTTGCTAAGATCAGGAACACCAAAAGGATGTCCAATCTCACCACTTCTATTAAACTTTGTGCTGGACATTCTAGAGCAAAAAAGTCAGATAAAGTGCATCCTGACTGGGAAGAAAAAAACGTAAAATTATTTCTGTTTGCAGATGACATGATCTTGTACATAGGAAGTCCTAGAGAATCAACTAAAAAGCTACCAGAACTAATAATTTCAGCAAGGGGGCAGGATATGAGGTCAACACACAAAAATCAGTTACATTTCCATAAACTTTTTAAAAAAGATTTTACCTATTTATTTATTTATTTGAGAGAGAGCACAAGTTGGGGAGAGGAGGAGAGGGAGATAGAGAAGCAGACTCCGCACTGAGCAGGGAGCAAGACATGGGACTCAATCCCAGGACCCCAGGATCATGACCTGAGGCAAAGGCAGATACCCAACAAACTGAGCCACCCAGGTGCCCCTCCATACACTTTCAATAAACAGTCCAATAATGACAGTAAGAAAACAGTTTCATTATTCCAGAGAGAAGTTAACGTGGTAAAGGAGTAGGGGATCCTAAGTTTGGTCCCTGGAATTCAGCTGGATCATTACCAACTCATTTTGAACACCTATGAAGTCAGTCAGAGATCTGAGAAAAGAATTGCTCCAATTCAGCAAATAGAAAAGCAACCACTTTTTGCAGGGTATGAGGTGCGGAGACATGAATCGGGACCATATATCAAAGGACATGGCAGAGGGGAGAAAGCTTCCTTAAGGAGCCTACTGCAAAGTATTACAAGCAGCAGAACACAGAAGCAGAACTTCCAGAAGTCTCCTGCAATGAAAGACGTCCCTCGCTTAAAGGTGCTCACGTGGCAAGGCAGGGCAGAATCCTAGGTGGGACCATGTGGTCTCAGGATCCCTGGGGTCACAAGAAGAACAGGGTACCTGAGTGTGGCAGAGTTCCCAGGCATCAGAACAGGGAAGCTGATTGAAAACAGCAAGCTTAGGTGCCAACTTTCTGTCCAGTGTTGCCATAAACTGTGAACCACTATGTTGTTCCTAGACTGCTCTCAAAAGCTCAGCAAAAGGAAGAAACAAGGCAATACCCCTCTCCCTCCCCCAGAAGGAACAGTGCAAGTCCACGCTTCAGGAGTATGTAAAATTTGAAGACTTGAAAGTCAGTCACAAGGCTGAGATAAAAAAGCTCGGTCATGGGGCTCTTGGGTGGCTCAGATGGTTAAGCAGCAAATCTGTCCACAGAGAACTGGCAAGCCAGAAAGGATAGGCAGGGTGTATACAATGTGCTAAATGGGACAAGTATGCAGCCAAGAATACTTTATCTAGCAAGGCTGTCATCCAGAACAGGAGAGATCAAGACTGTCCAGGAAAAAAAAAAACAGATAACAACAACAACAAACTAAAGGAATTTGTGAGCAATAAACCAACCCTGCAAGAAATATTAAAGGGGATCCTTTGAGTGAAGAGAGCCCAAAAGTAAACAAGGACCAGAAAGGAATACAGACAATATACAGAAAAACCAAATTTCCAGGTAATGCAATGGCACTAGCTTCATATCTCTCAATAATTACTGTGAATGGAAAAGGACTAACTGCTCCAATCAAAAGACATAGGGTATCAGAATGGATTTTTGTGCGTGTGTGTTATGTTAGTCACCATAAAATACATCATTTGTTTCTGATGCAGTGTTCCAAGATTCATTGTTCATGTTCCACACCCAGCACTCCATGCAATACGTGCCCTCCTTAATATCCACCACCAGGCTCACCCTCAACCCACACCCCTCCTCTCTAAAACCCTCAGTTGGTTCCTCAGAGTCCACAGTCTCCCATGGTTTGTCTCCCCCTCTAATTTGCGCCAATCCACTTTTCCTTTCCTCCTCCTAATGTCTTCCATGTTATTCCCTATGTTCCACAAGTAAGTGAAACCATATGATAAATTGATTTTCTCTGCTTGACTTATTTCACTCAGCATAAAAGACCCATTGTATGATGCTTACCAGAGGACTCAAAGACACCTCCAGATTCAAAGCAAGGTGGTAGAGAACAACTTACCATGCTAATAGACATCAAAACAAAACTGGAGAAACAATTCTTATATCAGACAAACTATATTTTATTTTTTTAAGATTTTATTTATTTGATATATAGAGGGAGAGACAGCGAGAGAGGGAGAAGCAGGCTCCCTATTGAACAAGGAGCCTGATTCAGGGTTCAATCCCAGAACCCTGGAATTATGACCGAGCCAAAGGCAGACGCTTAACAAATGAACCACCCAGGCACCCCAAGCATCCCCAGATTTGATATACAACTCAAAGACATAGAAAAATGGCAGAATAATCTGCTCTCATCCCTCCAATTCGGCTTCAGTGTACTGTCAATCTCAGCTGGCATCACGGACCATGAAAAAGCAAGATGAAAACACACAAGAACAAAAATACCCTGGCTGGAGTATTAAAAATTATTATTTGGGGGTGCCTGGGTGGCTCAGTGGGTCAAGCCTCTGCCTTCTGTTCAGGTCATGATCCCGGGGTCCTGGGATGGAGCCCCGCATCGGGCTCCCTGCTCAGCAGGGAGCCTGCTTCCACCTCTCTCTCTCTGCCTGCCTGTCTACTTTGGATCTCTCTCTGTCAAATAAATAAATAAAATCTTTTTAAAAATATATAAATAAAATAAAAATTATTATTTTTACTAAATTATTCTCAAATCCCCATATGTAACATCTTATTTGTAACATGGGATGTATAGCACTTCTGCTACATCCCTAAGCCCCAAGGGAAATAATTGGTGTGAACATAACTGGCCTCTTTTTTTTTATCGAATGCCATTTTTGCTTGAAGGAATGAATGACAGAGAAACTTGGATTATTTAGACTAGGATATTTCACAGGCAGTTTCTTGAAAATGAACACAAACCTATCACTTCAAGAAAATCAGCTCACGGGCGCCTGGGTGGCTCAGTGGGTCAAAGCCTCTGCCTTCGGCTCAGGTCATGATCCCAGGGTTCTGGGATCGAGCCCCACATCGGGCTCTCTGCTCAGCGGGGAGCCTGCTTCCTCCTCTCTCTCTCTCTGCCTGCCTCTCTGCCTACTTGTGATCTCTGTCTGTCAAATAAATAACTAAATAAAATCTTAAAAAAAAAAAAAAAAAAAAAAAAAGAAAATCAGCTCACACATGATAGCTGACAGTACTTTCTGCCTTGATAAAATGTAAGCGCCCAACAGAAAATCAGAATTTTGGAAAACTTATGATCCACTAATAAGCTTGACAGCTTCTCAGTACCCACAAACTTTCTCCTTGGGATTGGTGGTAATATTGAAACAAACATGAATTTTTGATAATTCAATTCACTCTCATCAATACTGGAACACATATATAACTTAGTGAAAAAACATATTTCTTTTTTTTTTAATATTTATCTTTTATGGTGGGTTTCTTTTTTTTTTTTTTTAAGATTTTATTTATTTGACAGAGAGAGATCACAAGTAGGCAGAGAGGCAAGCAGAGAGAGAGAGAGGAGGAAGCAGGCTCCCTGCCGAGCAGAGAGCCTGATTCGGGACTCGATCCCAGAACCCTGTGATCATGACCTGAGTGGAAGGCAGAGGCTTAACCCACTGAGCCACCCAGGCGCCCCCATATTTCTTAAAAAAAAAAAAAAAAAAAAAACAGGGGCTCCTGGGTGGCTCAGTCATTAGGTATCTGAGGCATTTGCCTTAGGCTCAGATCATGATCCTGGGGTTCTGGGATCATGCCCCACATCAGTCTTAGAGTCCAGCCCCGCATCAGGCTCCCTGCTCTATGAGAATCCTGCTTCTCCCTCTCCCAATCCCCTTGCTTGTGTTTCCCCTCTTGCTGTCTCTCTCTGTCTCTCTCTGTCAAATAAATAAATAAAATCTTTAAAAAAATGAAATTTAAATTTTAAATTAAAAAAAAATTTTTTTTTTTAAATCATGCATTAGTATAAGATCCATCTGGTGTGCAAGTTGGGCCTGTGGATTTTAATGTAACAGACAAGGACATAGTCAATGATACTGTTTCAGGTTCCACTTCACAAGTAACCTTAGAGAATGAATACCTTGTGTAGTTTGAATATAGTATCAAAGATGAATAGCAATAATTCTCTGAAAAAGTTACAAAACATAATATTCTCAATATTTGTGCAAGGCTGTAAATTTGTTCATATACTCCAACCAAAACAACTCCATAAATGCGGAAGCAAATCTGAACATCCAATGGTATTCTAAGGAGACAGACAAGAAATATAGAGACTTGCAAAAATGGAATATGTAAGAAAATCCACTCTTCTAGCTATCCTATTTATTTGGGGAACTGGTTATTTTTCATAAAAACAATATTTCTGTTTTCATGTCAGCTGCTTTTAATATAATTCTAAATGAATTAATAAATTTATTAATAATAAATGTTTAACCCTGTTTTATTCCTACTATGGTAAATATCACACACAAACACAAAATCCACATACACAAAAATACTCTTGGGATCCTCAGTAATTTGTAAGACCATATAGATACCCTGTGAACAAAATGTTTTAGAATCACTTATTCACACAGCTCCTGCGCCATAACTCAGGGAGACAGAGTCACGAGGAGCGCGCCGTGCAGTATATGAGGGGTCGGGTCAAAGACCCAGGTCCCCGGACCTGCCTCTCAGGGTCTCAGATCCCAGGGCGGTGTCTGGGGCGAGGAAGCAGAGTGCCAGGGAGTCCCCATCTCCTTGGGTTTCACGTCTCCCTCTCACAACCCGCATCATGTCCTCCTACCTGGATACTCGTGACGCGAACCCAGTGCACACTTCCATTGGGCATCGGGTTTCTGGAGAAGCCCGTCAGCGGCACCGCGGATCCAGCTTCTGAAGTCGTTACCAGACCATTGGGACTCAGTTCTCCTCAGACCCTAAGGGTCTGGGGCATGGGCCCCCGAACCCTCGCATTGTTGCTGTCGGGGGCCCTGGCAGTGGCCGAGACCTGGGCGGGTGAGTGCGGGGGCGGGCGGAAAGGGCCTCTGCGGGGCGGGAGCGGGGGGACCGCCGGGCGGGGACGCGGGACTCCCGGGGAAGGCGCATCTCCGCCGCTCCCACCCCCGCCCCTGCCTGTGCTCCTCGGTCCCTCCCCGCCTCCGCCCTGCTCTCCCCGACACTGTGCTTCCCTTCCCCCGGCTCTCCCCGCCGCCCTCCTCCTGGGCCCCAGGCCCAGCGCCGGGAGGAGTGTCGGGCGGGGTCTCATCCCCTCCGGGTCCTCAGGCTCCCACTCCGGGAGGTATTTCTCCACCGCGGTGTCCCGGCCCGGCCGCGGGGAGCCCCGGTACTGGGAAGTCGGCTACGTGGACGACTCGCAGTTCGCGCGGTTCGACAGCGACTCTGCCAGTCGAAGGATGGAGCCGCGGGCGCGGTGGGTGGAGCAGGAGGGGCCGGAGTATTGGGACCAGGAGACGCGGAGGGTCAAGCACCACGCGCAGGCTTTCCAAGTGAGCCTGAACACCCTGCGGGGCTACTACAACCAGAGCGAGGCCGGTGAGCGACGGGGCCTGGGTCCAGGTCACGACCCCCATCCCCACCGACGGGCGGGTGTCGCCCCCTAGTGTCCGGGTATGAGCGTCACCGTGAGGCTGCGCGACCCACTTGTGCCCAGACCCGGGAAGAGCGCGCGGGAACCTCTATGGGGTTTACTTTGTGTTTGGACTTAGTCGCTCGCGGGTAGGGGCGGGGAGGGTTTTAGTGGCTGACCGCTGATGCCGGGCTGGGGGGCGGGGCCAGGGTCTCACACCTTCCAGTGGACTTCTGCCTGCGACTTGGGGGCCCACGGGCGTCTCCTCCGCGGGTACCAGCAGTGGGCGTACGACGGCGCGGATTACATCGCCCTGAACGAGGACCTGCGTTCCTGGACCGCGGCAGACACCGCGGCGCAGATCACCCTCCGCAAGTGGGAGGTGGCGGGTGAGGCAGAGCGCTACAGGAACTACCTGGAGGTCACGTGCGTGGAGTGGCTTCGGAGGCACCTGGAGAACGGGAAGGAGACGCTGCTGCGCTCAAGTACCAGGGCCAACAGGGCCTCTCTGATCTCCCCTCCCCTGGGGCTGGCTTCCCACCAGAAAGGGAAAATGGACTCAGTGGCAGAACACCGCATTCCCACGGGTGGGGAGATCGGTGGGATCTCCCATGGGAGATCCACGGGTGGGGAGACCGAGATCGAGCCCTCCGCCTGGGTGTTCAGGTTCCTGTAAAGAGTGACTCACCCAGAGGGCCGCTTTTCTCTAAAGGGCAATTGAGAAATCCAGTCTCTCCCAGGAGGCAGGTGGAGACCATTCCTGAAATAATCCATCAGCAGTTCCCTTTGACCTTGGCAGCCACCTTGGCAACCCTGACTTTCCCTCTCAAGGCCTTGTTCTCTATCTGAGAACATCTTTGGAGGTCTGACTCCAGGTTTTCTGACTCATTCACCTTCCCACCCAGTCAGCACACATTAGTGTGCTCTCTCAGACCTACAGCCTCCTACCCTGGACTCTCTCCCTGATTCTAGAACTTTCCAGGATTAGGAGATCCTTTAGACTACATTGGTTTCTGGGTTTTGTGCTTCTTCCATTCAAACCCATGGCCCTGTCCACCTCAGGATGGTCACATGAATGCCCTTTCGGTGGCCCTTAATGGTAAACCAAAGGGTGGAATTTCTGATTCTTTTTCTTCAGAACCCCCCAACATACACGTGACCCACCACCCCATCTCTAAACGTATTGTCACCCTGAGGTGCTGGGCCCTGGGCTTCTACCCTGTGGAGATCACCCTGACCTGGCAGCGTGAGGGAGAGGACCTGACCCAGGACACAGAGCTTGTGGAGACCAGGCCTGCAGGAGATGGGACCTTCCAGAAGTGGGCTGCTGTGGTGGTGCCTTCTGGAGAGGAGCAGAGATACACATGCCATGTGCAGCATGAGGGACTGTCTGAGCCCATTACCTTGAGATGGGGTAAGGAGGGTTTTGGGGTCGAGCCTCTTCTCAGGGAAAGCAGAAGGCCTTCTGGAGAATTTCAACAGGGTCAAGAATCAAACCAGAGGTCTGAACCCCTCACCCTCCCTTTCTAGAGCCTCCTCTTCCCATCGTCCTCATCACATGTATCATTGCTGGTCTGGCTCTCCTTGTGGTCACTGTGGTGATTGGAGCTGTGATCTGGAGGAAGAAGTGCTCAGGTAGGGAATGGAGTGGGAGGATCTGAGGTTTCTTGTCCCTTTGGGGGTTTCCTAGGTAGCAGACTGTCCTGCCTTGTAACTGGAAAGTTCCATCCTTGCACATGTACTTGTCCACTCTGGAGCTGATCACTAACACGCAGTGTGTAGCAAACATTTGTGACAATGAAGGACACATTTTCATCTTGTTAATCCTGGTGATGGGGACCTGATTCCCAGCAGTCACAGGACAGAGAGGAAGGATACTTCTGGGAACAGACCTCCAGCATGTCAGGTGACCCAGTGACCCCACACCTCGTTCTTCGTGTTTCCTGATCCTGTCCTGGGTCTTCAGGCACAATTCTGGAAACTTCATTTTCAACCAGGACTAGGAATTTCCTCTATGATCTCATGGCCTCACCCTATCCCCGGCCTCTAACATGATATTTTCTTCCCCTGGGATGAAAAGGACCAGGTGAAAGGTGATATCTCATTGTGGTTTTGATTTGTATTTCCCTGATGATGAGTGATGTTGAGCATCTTTTCCTGTGTCTGTTGGACATTTAGATGTCTTCTTGGAAACATGTCTGTTCATGTCTTCTGTTCATTTTTTAATTGGAATATTTGTTTTTTCTTTGTTTAATTGTGTAAGTTCTTTGTCATTTTAGATACTAACCCTTTATCAGATATGTTATCTGCAAATATTTTCTCCCATTCTGTCGGCTCCTCCTTCACTGCACTGAAGCTTTTTATTTTGATCCAAATAGTTTTTTTTTGTTTTTGTTTTCCTTGCCTCAGGAGTCATACCTAGATAAATGTTGTTGTGCTTGATGTCCGAGAAATTACTGCCTGAGCTCTATTCTAGGATTTATATGGTTTCCTCACATTTAACTCTTCAATCTGTTTTGAATTCACTTTTGTGTATGGTTTAAGGAGATGGTCCAGTTTCATTCTTTTGCATGTTGTTGTCCAGTTTTCTCAACATCATTTTTGGATAGACAGTCTTTTTTCCATTGCATATTCTTTCCTGTTTTCTCAAAGACAAATTGATCATATAACTGTGAGTTTACTTCTGGATTTTCTACTATGTCTCATTGATCTATACATGTATTTTTGTGCCAGTAACATGCTGTTGATTACTGCAGCTTTGTGAGTTTTTTGGTGCGTTTTTTTTTTTTTTTTTTTAAGATTTCATTTATTTATTTGACAGAGAAACACACAGCAAGAGGGGGAGCACAAGCAGGGGAAGTGGGAGAGGGAAAAGGAGAAGCAAGCTTCCCTCGGAGCAGGAAGCCTGATGCGGGACTTGATTCAAGGATCCTGGGATCATGACCTGAGCCAAAGACAGAAGACTAATGACTGAGCCATGAAGGCACCCCTTAGTACAGCTTTGTAGTATAACTTGAAGTTTGGAACGTGATACCTCCAGATTTGCTTTCCTTTTTTAAGGTTGCTTTGGCTATTCAGGCTCTTTTGTGGTTCCATACAAATTTTAGGATTATTTGTTCTAGTTCTGTGAGAAGTGCTGCTGGTATTTTGATAGGTATTACATCAAATATGTAGATTTTGGGTAGTGTAGACATCTTAACAATATTGTTCTTCCAATCCATGAGCATGGATTGTCTTCCCATTTGTTTGTGCCATCTTCAGTTTCTTTCATCAGTGTTTTCTAGTTTTCAGTGTATAGATTTTTTAATTCTTTGGTTATGTTTATTCCTAGGTACTTGCCATCCCCTCTCCCCCAAAGACCAGAAGATTGCTCCAGGTCCAACTGCCCAGATCCTTGGCCCTCATCCCTCCTTTGGTTCCTTGACCCCAGTGGGCCTCACTCCTGACACCTAGTCCCCAAACTGGCTGTTTCCGCCACGTGGTCAGCTCCAGCCTTTCCCTACAGCCAGCATTCTCCCAGCCTGCCTGTCCTGTGCTGGATGTCCCCCCTAAACCTCTCTGGGGGTCTGACCTGTGCCCCTTCCCAATATCACCCCCACCATGCAGGTCCTTCTCCAGGGAGTTCACCATGGTGTTTTGATTCTAGTTTCTCTTTCATTCCCCTCCTTTCTCATATAAACTACCCTTTGGGCTCCCTGCTCTGCCTCTCTGAAACCCCTGCCTACTGCCTCTCCCCAAGGGACCCTGGCAGGTCCAGCCCATCCCCACTTGGGGACTCACCCTGCCACTATTCCACTTGGACCTAACCCTCTTCCAGGCCCACATCAAGCTCCCTTGTGCCCACAATCCACCCCCCCACAACAGGCCTTCTGCCTCAGAGTCCCTCCCTCCCTTCGCCCTATCTCCTCCCTGATGAGCCTTCACCACAGGCAGCAGCCCCTGGCTCTCCACTCCACCATAAGCCCCCTGGGCTCCATGGCAGCTCTGGCCATGGATTAATCAACCTTTGTCTCCCCACTGCCCCTCCCTCCCACCTGGCAAGAAGACCACTCCTTCACCATGGCTTTCTTGTCCCTTCCTTGGTCCCTGCAGGCCAGCCTTTCCCCTTGACCTCCTATCTTCACCTACCCACAGAGGCCTGTGACTCCCTCTCCTGGCTCCTGTCCTGCATGTCTACCCATTTCCAGCCCCCTCTGCCATTCCTTCTCCCCTCTCCTTCCTGCCCCCTTTCCTCTCTTCCTGCATTAGAAAGCCTCCCTCCTGTGCCTTGTACAAATGCATTTTCTGCATGCTCAATACTTCAAGCAGCTCAGGACAGCTGAGCTTTTCTGAGAAACATAAGACATGCAGTTACTTCCAGAAGGCAGTTTCATCCATGTTCTGCTCCCTGCCCAGGATCCCATGGTCTTTGTTATAACCTCACAGGGGTGTCCCAGGATGAATCTGTGCATCGGAGAATTTTTGCTGAAAGACACTTGGATGGTCAGGCCTTCCTGCACCATGACAACAAGAAAGATGTGGCAGAGTCACAGAGATTAGGGGCAGAAGCAATCCGGGGACCTGAGACATGGGCAACAGAGACCAAGGGCTTGAGAGACACCGGGAAGGAACTCAGAATGAGTCTAGAAGACCTCCTGGCCCTGCAGGCACCAAGAAGAGGTGAGAGTGGCGTCAGAGCAAGAAGGATGGGAAACCTTTCCCAGGGAAGTTCAGGGCAGAGAGCAGAGACCTATCTCTTACCCTGGATTGGCTGGTCTGAGGGTCTGAGGGTCTGTGGACTTCAGCCTACAGTGACCATTACTGAGCCAACACAGGGAAGATGTGGAGAAGAGCAGACAGGGACTCCTCTGGCTGGAGTTTGTCACTGGGGCGGGGAGGGCGGAGGGACACAGGTTGGGAAATTCACTGCTGGATGGTGGCCGGTTTGCATTTCCTCCAGGAGATTTGGGACTAGGAGATCCAAGAAGACAACTGCACCAGAGTCTTCAGGCATTTCCACCGTGATGGGGAGCCCTTCCTCTCCTATGACTTGAATACCCATGGCTGGACAGTTCCCTGCTCTTCCACACTGACCTTGGTTATGGAAATCAAGAAACCTGGGATGTAGATGGCTCTCAAAGCCAGGATTCCTTAGCCATGTGCAGAGAGAGCTTTGTGGAAGCATCAGAAATATCTGGAGTCCTGGATGGGCTTCTTGGGCAAAAAAGGTTCAGCCCTGGGGCAGAGGCCTTCCTCTCCCCTAGACCCATTGAACCTCCTCCTGCAAAACACTGTCCAAGGAAACCCTCCCTGTCCTATGGAATGCACATATGTTCTCTTGGCGCATTGTATTGTGATCGGCCTAAACTCTTAAAGCCTCTGGATAAAGGATAGAGATACCAATCATGTGGGGCCAGAAGTGAATTCTCTCAGGAGCACCTGGGTGGCCCAGCTGGCTGATGTCGAATTCTTGATTTTTAACTCAGGTCATGATCTCAGCACAGAGTCTGCTTGGGATTCTCTCTGTCCCCCTCCCAATGACCCTCCCTGCTTATGCACTCTATAAATAGATTAAATAGATGATAGATGGATAGATAGATGATAGATGATAGATAAAATCTTAAAAAAAAAAAAAAAAATCTGAATCCTGTCAGTGTTAATAGTCCAGGGAGACAGTGGACTCTGCTACAGAAAACTGAACCAGGAGGGTGGGTGTCAGGCAGAAGAGGAAGCCTAGCCTCCATGTCATGTTCCATTATATTCCCTTCAACCCAAGAACCCACCCATCATGCCCCCTCCTCAGCATCAACATGTGGATCCAAGAAAGTGAGGCCTGGATCCCAGGGTCATCCGCCAGTCCAAAGGAACTGGACCCCAGGGTGCAGAACAAACTTGGAGAAGGTCTGGGGTCAATGAAGGCCTCAGCAAGAGGTGAAAAGGTGGGAGAAGCAGCCCTCTTCTCTCTGTTTCCCTTAGAGGGGAGCAGGACTCAGCCATGTGCCTCATTGGCTCTGTGCTTTCTCCCCAGTGCCCCAAAAAGAGAACGTGTTCTGCAGCCAGCCCTTGGAGGGCTTGGTCAGCCTAATATGCTGGGCTTTCCATTTCTCTCCCGGGAATATCTCCCTGACCTGACTTCGGGATCAGGAACCCCTGAGCCAGAATGCCTAGCAGGTTAGGGGAGTCCTGCCTAGTGGAAATGGGACCTACTGGACATGGGGGACCATAAGGGTCCCTCAGGGAAAGGAGCAGAATTTCACGTGCTGCATGGAAGCCACAGGGAACCACACTGCACACCCTGTGCACTCTGGTGGGCCTCGGGTGATTGTGGAGGGGGCTCTGACTCTGGTCGGGTCAGGAGCCAGGGTGAAGAGAAGAGAGCAGACCTGTGGTCCTGGGGAGCCCCAGTTGATATATGGCCCTTTTCCTGGAAAGGCCCTAGTGCACAGGTACGGACAGACAGTTGCCTGGCTGCTCCTGCTGCTGCTGCTGCTGCTGCTGCTTTTATCACCATTATTGTGTGTGTTCTTTCTCCAAGAACAAGAAACCAATAGCAGTTATGGGAGCCCAAGTGAGAAATCTGGGGAGTGGGTGGGGTGGGAGGGGCTCTAATGGATGTGGGGCCCCTCATGTCTCCCTCTGCATAGACTGTAGGGAACGACAACTTCTGTAACAGGAGCTGGAAGTCAGATTTCTGAGAGGGGTTGGGAGCCATGTCTGTATCCCCACCCTTAGCCCTGCTCACAGCCAGGGACACCAGGGCCCTTGAGTGGTGAGCATGGCCTCTCCTTGCTCTGAGTGAGGGTTGGGCAGTGGGGCTGGGACTCCCTGCTCTGAGCTTGTCCTTCCCTGTCTCTTTTCTCAGGCTAAGCCGGGCTCTTCCAGGGGTGTTTCCATGTGGTAGGTGGTGGAGAGGTGGTGCAAAGGGCAGCTTCGGGATGTAGAGGGTGGACAGACAGCCTCAGGCTGGGGTCTCAAGAATTCCCTACACCTCATTTACAAGAAGGTTGCAACAAGCACTGCCTGAATTACCTGGGGGAGTCCCTACTAGGAAAGGGGCAGGAAGGCCCTGGCAGCCTCAGCCAAGCAGCATTTGGGGAGGACCTGTGATTCCAGGGGCAAGTGGGCCAAGAAGGAGCAGGGAAGGCCAAAGGCAGCTTGGGAGCCTGGGCCAGGGGTGAGGGTGGAGGAAAAGGCCAGGCCTCTGAGAGCATGTAGTACTCTGAGTCAGGTCAAGTACAGACCGCTGGAACCCACTTTTTCTACACTGGGCCTGTTGGTCTCCTGAGATTTCTGATGTCCCTTCTGGTTAGGAGCTGCTGGCTCAGGGCCAGGGGAGGGATGAAGCTGAGCTGCAGGTGGGGTCTGTCCCTGTGGTTGAGCGTGATCAACAAGCAGACAACAGCCTGATGGTACACAGGTGCTTATGCAGGTGGGGATCCAGACAGCTAGGGAGAGAAGATGCTATGTTTGTGACCACTGCCTGGCCTGGAGGAAGAAGTAACAGATACCTGTCTTTCAGGCATGCCCTCTGCTCTGTAGGTGCATGGGTCAGGGCTTGAGAGGGGGGAAAGCATTGAGTTTATGCTCCAGGGTGTTGTCCTTGGCTGTGGGGCACTTTCTTGTTCCTGTCTGGTAGTTGGTGGAAGCAGGCCCAGGTGATGATGCTGAGGGATCATGGTGGGGTGCGCGGGGTGGGGGGGGACCAGCAAAGGCTGAGGAAAGGGGTATGAGAGAGAAAACAGTGAGGGTGTTATGCTCCTTCAGAGAAAGGCAAGGCTGAACTTGGACAACTGAAGGAGAAGTCACACAAAGCACACAAAGCAGTATTTGGCACCAGATAGGCTTCTATTGGTTTCTCTTTTCTCCCTGAGCTTGTTAGCCTTCAAGACCTGGGTTAACACCAGATGGCATCAACAGGCCATAATGGCAGCAAGCAGCATTTGACAACTTCAGGGCATCCCCACTGAGAGGCAACATATTCTGGAATATTCTAGACCATTCAGATCTCAAAGATGACTCTAGCCCCAGCCCATGTCACACGGACCAAAAGAGCTGCTGTTGGGCCTAGCTGATTCACACAATGAGAGAGAATAAAATGTGGTTGTACCATTTGGAGATTTTTTTGTTATTTAGCAATAGGTAACAGCAATGTCTGATGTACTACTATTATTACGTTTTATTTATTGTCTGTCTTTCCTGTCAGATGGAAAGCATTAAGACAATATGTATTTTGTCTGTTTCATTAAATGATTACCAGGCCTAAAACAAACACTGGCCTAGAGGCATTCATGGAGTATACTTAGAGGAAGGAAGGGAGGGAGGGAGGGAGGAAGGATGGATTGTTGTAGGCAGAATTCCTTAAAATTGGTTTTGGGGCTGTAAAGAGGAAAGTTTGTGGGCATTTGGCATGGGGAGTTTTTTATGATTTGTGTATGCAAGTGTGTATGCACCTGCATGAGTTCCTGTGTGAGTTTAGTATGTACATATTGGTCTTGGTTGTCTGAACAAGGAACCAGGAATATGAAGAGTAACTCCTGCACTCATATTTCAAATACATAGGCAGTATAGACAGGTAGCACTGCTGATCATTGAAATTATCAAGTCTGAGGAGAGAATTAAAAAAGAACTGAAGAAAAGGGAAGAGACCCTAAAGGAGTACTAAGACATCATAAAGGGAACCAACATATGCATTTTGGGAGTCCCAGACAGAAAAGAAAGAAAAAACTAAGGTTTATTTGAAACAGATGCCTCTGAGATGTCTTGGGCTCAGGAAAGGGCCTTAGTTATGTTGTAGTTCATTGACTCAGCTGCAGGATTTGAGACCCTTGGGAGCTCCATCTGGCCACCCTCAAATCCCTGGGTCAGACTTCAGGGTAGAAATGAGATTTGAGTTTGGGCAATAGAGCTCCTGTCTTGGTGTTAAAAGTAGCAGACAGTAGGACCTGAGGTGGTCAGGATGAAAGATTCTGGCACTGACATCACTGAGGGAAAGAGCCAGTAACCCAGCCTCCAGAATCAGAGGCAGCAGTAGGAACAAGTGACAGGGACTCACAGGTCCAAGGTCCTCTCCATGGAATGTGGCAGTGTGTTTACTGGAGCATCCAGGATGTTTGTGGGGCTGGCTGAAGATCTGGGAACTAGTGGTTATGGCCTTAAGGTAGCTCTCTTCCCTACGTCCAGATTCCTTGGTTACTCAGTGGGGAGGAAACATCAATGTCAGTGTACATTTTGGGAAACACTGACCTACACATTGTGCCTCCTTTATGTAGAGCCCTGTGCTAGTTTCATAGGCCAAAGAGACCCTGGGTGGGTCCCAGGTGAGCAGCCAAAAAAGAAGCTAAGGGCTTCTATTCTCAGCTCTGTGACCACACAGAGGCATTGCCACTCTGCTCCCAGATTCTCACTGAACAACATTGGGACGGGGGAGGGAATGGGGATGTAGAAAGCACACACATGCTCAGGGAAAAGTGTAGGCTCAAAAACGACATGAGAAGAGCTGAAGTGTACACCTAAAGCTGATTTCTGGTGCACAGCCTACAACAATAAAAAATCAAAACAAACAACAAACCTGTTGGTGGGGGGAATGATTTTCAGAGTTACCACAACATAAGAGTGAGATGACCAGTTTTCAACAACAATAAAACACAAAGTATATAAAGAAAGAGGACAATATGACCCATTCAAAGTAAAATAATAATAACAGGAAATGTCCCTGATAGATCAGATGGTGGACTTACTAGACAAGAACTTTAAATCAACTGTCTGTAAGATGGTCAAGGAATTAAACAAGACAGAGAAGTCAAGAAAATGAGATATGGATAAAATAAAGTATCTACAAAGAGATGCAAAACATAAACTAAAAGTCCAGTGCTGATATATACAATAACTGAAAGAAAAATTTACTAGAGTATTCAAGAGCAAAATCCAGCAAACAGAATAATCACTAAACTTGGAGATAGGACAATTGAAATTATCAAGTCTGAGAAGAGAATGAAAAAAAAACAAAAACAAAAACAAAAACAAAAACAAAACCTGAAGAAAAGGGAAGAGACCCTAAGGGAGCACTATGAACACCATAGAAGAAACCAACATATGCATTTTGGGAGTCCCAGACAGAAAAGAAAAAAAAAAAAAAGTAAGAGAGGTTTATTTGAAGAAATAATGGCTGAAAACTTACCTAAATTCATGAAAGAAATGAACATAAACATAACTCCAATCAAAGCATGAGGCTGAGGGGTGCCTGGGTGGCTCAGTGGTTAAAGCCTCTGCCTTCGGCTCGGGTCATGATCCCGTGGTCCTGGGATCGAGCCTCACATCGGGCTCTCTGCTCAGCAGGGAGCCTGCCTCCTCCTCCTCTCTCTCTCTGCCTGCCTGTCTGCCTACTTGTGATCTGTCTGTCAAATAAATAAAAATCTTTATAAAAAAAAAAAAAAGCATGAGGTTGACAGAATGGTTAAGGAAAGATGAATTAACTATATGTTGTTTAAGAGATTCACTTTAGGGGCGCCTGGGTGGCTCAGTGGGTTAGAGCCCTTGCCTTTGGCTCAGGTCATGATCCCAGGGTCCTGGGATTGAGTCCCACATCTGGCTCTCTGCTCAGTGGGGAGCCTGCTTCCACCTCTCTCTCTCTGCCTGCCTCTCTACCTACCTGTGATCTCTCTGTCAAATAAATTAATAAAATCTTTTTAAAAAGAGAGAGAGAGAGATTCACTTTACCAAAAAACACAAATAGTTTGACAGTGAAAGGATGGAAAGAGGAATCCCATGCACATAGTAAACAAAAGAGAACTGGAGTATTTCTAATATTCTCAGTTAAAATAGACTATAAAATCAAAAGAATTTAGAAGAGATAAAAAGAACAGTGGATATTAATAAAAGTTTCACTAGAGCAAGAAGGTGCAACAATTATAAACTTCTAACAGTTAATAGCAAATCAATAAACTCTATGAAGCAAAACTTCATACACTGGAAGGCAGAAGTAGAGAGACCCACAATGATAGTTGGAGAATTCAATATCCCATTCTCAAACCTGGATAGAGGAACCAGCAGAAGAAAAGTAAGGAAATAGAGGGCTTGACCAACATAATAAATGAACTACATCTGACACCCATATAGAGAACACTCTACCCACAAATAACAGAATACACATTCTTCTCCAGTGCACATGGGACTGTTTCCAGGATGCACCATATGTTAGACCACAAATTAAGACTCAACAGAATTGAGATAAAAAAAATGTATGCCAGGGCAAAATGGCTGAAGAGCAGGGGACCACGTTTCTCTGGTCCCTTGAATTCAGCTGGAAAACTATCAAACCATTCTGAACTCCCATGAATTCAGCCTAGGATGTAAGGGGAAAAAAAAAAAATCTGGAACTCTACAAGTAGAAAAACAATTGCTTTTTGCAAGGTAAGAAGTGTGGAGATATGAATCTGAGAAGGGATATCTGAAGATAAACAGAGAGGGGAGGGAGCCTCCATCAGCCAGCCCCGGAAAGTGATATACCCCAGAGGGCAAAACGGGAACCCTTAGAAATCTGCTCCAATGAAAGAAATCTCTATCTGGAAGGGGCTCAGGGGATGAAAAGGGCATAATTCTAGGTGGCTGTGTGGTCTCAAGTTCCCAGGAGTCACAGAACTAACAGGGGTCCCTAAGCCATTAGAGTGCCCAAACAGTGAAGCAGTGAAATGTTTATGGTCAGTGAGCCAGGAGGGGACTCTCAGCTTGGGTTGCCATAAATCGGGAGCCAGTCCTGATCGGGTGACTGCTCTCCACCTGCACACCCAGAAAAGGACTGAAACACGTGGACCATCTGCCATCCCTCAAGAGGGGTGGAAAAGGGGCCCCTATAACTGTGCAACAGCTCACAGGGTGGCAACCCCATAAAGGACAGCAGGGCAAACCCAGCTGTCCCTGGGGAGCATCGGAGCAGGTAAGCCCTCAAGCCCCCAGCCGCTCTCAGCCCCAGGGCACTACAAAAGGCAGTAACATGGGATCCTCAGACTCCCCTGGGGAGGATTGCTGTGGGCATGCACCACAGGAGTCTGCAGATTTTGGCCCACACAAAGGTGAAGACTATTTGTCCCAGAAAGTTTACTGAAGAGATGGGACAGCGATGTTTCTGTTCTAGGGCTGGAGACTGGGACACAGCCATTTTCATTCTGATCCTCTAAAGAGGCATGGAGAGCCTTCAGGGAACAAAAGCCACACACAGGACCAGCTTACACTGAGGCCCAGGGCCCTGGCAAGGAGTGGTGCAACACCGCCCAGGTAAAGACACCTGAGAAGCAGCACATCAGGCCCCTTCCCTAGAAGACCAACTGGAAGAACAGGTGCATAGATGGTTTACAGATCTACAGGACTGTAAAACTGCAGCACTAGGGGCAAATAATATACAGAATTCAAGGTTTTTTCTTACAATTCCTTTATCTTTCAGTCTAAAATTTTCTTTTTTTTTCTTTTTTCCCATTTGAACTAGTTTCTTATTTTAACTACTCTTTGTTTTTAAGTCACGTTTTAGCTTTTATTTTTTACATTTACACTTTATAGATATAAGCTTCATTTTTGGTCTTTTTTTACTCAATTCAATTTTATTTTTGTATATATAGGTTTTGTTTTCTTTGTAATTTTGGGACTTAGTGTCTTCTAACATACAGACCAAAATTCACTCAGGAACAAGTGGATCATCTTG